TGAGATCTGATCAGATCTGATATATGCAAATATCCATCCATGCAGGGTTATGCACACATACATACTTATAAAGGGTCGCTTTAACTTACTTTCACTGACACGCTTACACATTAAACTACTTTCTGTGTGAGAAAGGAATAAAGTGTTGATATTAACAGTTATAGTCATAGTGTAGCAGATATACATATCCATCCATTCTCTTCTGCTTATCCTTATAAAACCCTCTCAGACAGGATGCAAAACACGTGAAAAGTGAGAAGCGTAGCTGCTCACTTATGCTTGTGTTTTTGCTTTTTTCGAATCGCGCTCCAGTTTTTCTTTGTTCCAGCTGCTCTAAGCTGAAAGAAAAGTCTCTGTTTTTCATCGCATTTCTGAGTACATGTGTGCACACAAGTGTAGCAGACTTGGACATGCTTCTCATTCTTGGAGTTCACCACTGCCTGTCGTTCAGCATGCTTTCATTTTCCTACCAGTGCTCAGTTCTTGAGAGAGAACCAGGCTGGAGGCTGGAGGAGGGGGGCTGTTTTGTCTCATGGGCTTTAAGCCCGCCACACCACCCACCTCTACCGCTCCAGCCACTAGAGCTTTGGGCCTCGTGGGACAAGGCCAACCTTGATAAAGGCCACTTGCATAATTCAAGCACCTCATTGCTCAAGTTCTTGTAAACTTGGCCCATAAACAGTACCTGAATGTGTCACATCCAGGTAAAAGAGAAGCTTTTTTTTCCTTATCATTGTTCCTCGAGTCATTTTTATGCCTTCTAAAAATGGAAAGTCTCTCCGGTGAGAGAGAGTATTGCCACCAACATTTCACTGCACAGATCTCTCCAGCTATCGCATTCAGCGTCTGAAATACCGGAAAATAAAGCCCTGCGTACATTTGACCCTTCAGCATACAGCAGCTTGACATGTGGGTGACCTGGCAATGCCCTCTTTATAAAATTCTGTTATAAGGAGGTGATGAGAGAAGCGAAACACAGTAATCCTCCTGAATGTGAGTCTCCCGGTTAGGATTTAAATGGTGAGTGAGAGAGAAAGCATATTCAACACCTCCCCTCCCCGGCCCTCCTCCTGTAATCTAAAGAGAGATCACTAGCTGCTTGTTTGATCTGTAATGAAGTCACACCACAAGAGTGATTTAGGATAAACTGAACCCACTTTAAGTGAAGTGTGGGACTCTGGTAGGCTACAGTAAGTTAATTAAGAGGTTTGCTGTTAAAGCTACCTCAGAGCTGGAGACTCAAGAGTATTTTGAGCCATCAGACTGAAGGATGGCGATGGCATCATCATCTACAGTCCCACAGGAAGTCTTAGCACCCCTAAAGTACTCCCATCCACTACTGCATCAGCATCCTCACTGCAACATCCTTCCACCATCAGCCTGAAAGCCACTGAGGTTTTCTGGAAGCTGAGGCACAGCAGCTCTGTGTCCATCGGTACGTTGCTGCTGACCAAGCAACCACTCTTCAGCAGCAGTAGCAGCAGCTGTAGCAACAGCAGCAGCGGATCGTCCAGCCTTCATAGCGTCGTATTGACAAATGCCTGCACTGACTACGTGCAGGGATGAAACGAAACACCATGTCTGTGCCGCTTTCAGGTGATGCGATCCTTTCTATATCGTAAAAAAAAACAACCCAAAAAAAACAAAAAAACACGCCAGCCAAAGCACTCCGTAATACTGTAAAAGCAAAACAGTGCAACTGATACAAATAAGCTGTAAAGAAGATTAAACTAGACGCACTCGCGGCCCGGCTATTCGGGCAGATTTAGGTTTATCAATTAACGCTGCAAGCAGGGGAAACGTAAACAGTGTCTTACCGTCACAGTCGCGGAGGAATAGCCTCGGAGACTGTCAAACGATGAGATGCTCCGGTGAAGGAGGGAATGATACTGCTGGACAGATCGACCTCCGTTCGGCTGGATAATGTCGCCCCCTGTTGGTACAAAGCGGGTAGTGCCTGTACAGTGCCTGTACAATAAGCGTTTTGGTTTCTCTCCCTGTTTATGTATTATGTATACATGTAAATGGATTCCTTAAATATAATTATGACCAGCTGGTGTGGGACAAGCTTCGTTATTAAACAAAAGTCCATAAATATACTTTGGTTCCACACAAAAAATAGTTTCATTTTAACAGCAGCAAACTATGAACTTCCGTTTACTTTTTTCAAAATAAAAGAAGAACTGGCTAATGAAAGTCGGTGGTTGCCATGTTCTTGCTTAGGGTTTTAGTAGGACACTTGCTTGGTTTGTTATCTGACTTTAAATGGTACGTGCAAAAATCTCATCCCCACTCAAGCTGAACTAACTCACTTAATCCCAGAAAATCAACCCCGGTTTTCTGGTGGCAGTAATTTCCTAACTTGGAGGACTACAGATTTCCCCTGTTGTGCCAAAAAGTGTCAACTGTCAAAAAAGGTCAGATCTAGTTCAATTCTATATGTTTTTTATGCGTAATAGCTTTGCTTATATTGTTAATAGACTGTAGTTGCTGTAGATACTTGCCTGTCTGCAAGTATCTTTGACTCAATTATTGTAATTACATTATAATCAATCCATTTCTTTTTAGCCACTTAATATATCTTTAGAGAACTGGGATGTTAAACTTGCTGCAATTTCTGCTTTCCAGATCTGTCTTGGAAAAGAGCATTTTTAATGTCAGACACTTTTTACCTGTTTGAAAGTGACTCTTATATATATGAAAGTCACTTTTTTTATTGCAGCTCCTGTCACAAGGTATTGTGACAGGATTTTGGTTCTGTCTCACAATGACTTGATATCATTAATGAGAGCACAGCACAACAGCCGACAGGCCCAGAGTTCAGTTTTATGAGCATTAATATGCAAACTGTCATGACCATTCATCAGTGGCATGAGTACCATTTACAGAGAATTGGAGAATAGCCACAAACAGCGCAGTAAAATGGTGAAGTAAGGCCCATCAGTGGTTCAGTGATCATTGATCAACGGCCTATTGTTAGTCATTAGTGGGTGTTTTCAGTCATCATGCAAATGAACTGCTTATAATGCTGGGGAAACCTGCAGTCAGCTGAAAACGTCACTTTGATGGGAAATGAAACGTTTTTCCCACTGAAACGTACCTCCAGATCAACAGATTCAACTTTGTGGGATTTTCTTACCTGGATGACTGAGCCTAATTCACAATTTACTATTATATAACTATACTATTATAGTCTCGTGGGGTTTTTTTCAGGTAATTAATAATCGTTTTTTCTTTTTTTTTTTTGCTGTTGGACCCACTTTTGTTCATACTCATTGTTTTTTTACTTAATAGTTTTATATTGTCTATATAAACATCTGATTCTATGTTAACCGTTGTTCTGTAAATCACAATTTTTTTGTTGGGTCAGATATATAAAGTGTGAAGAGGATTCAAGAAATATAGAGCGCAGCCTCCCAAATTATACCTCTTATACAATAGACCAGCTTCAGCTTGTCTCAACTTGAAATTTGAAAGCCTCTGTGGCCCTTGGCTTCCATGGAAGCCTTGATGAGTTGTATACTTTTTTTTTACATTCATTTAATGAAAGCAAATATTTAATTTTTTTTTTAATGTCCTGTATTTAAAATCTTAGTACTTCAAAAGGGAAAAAAAGTGAGACATGAGAAATGACTGTTCAAGTTTAGCACGACTTTTAATTTGAAGGAGCTGGAGAAAGGACTACAAGAATGGCGCTTGGAGTTGGCCGGTTGGGCCTAGCCGAAATAGTTGTCTTAACATTCGCCTGAAATCTGGCATGTAAATCTTTTCAGGTATAGAATTTTCCAGAGTTCTGCACGCATTTCCAAATGTTCGGCAACACCTGATGATTTTCAAGCTTAGTCGTGACCGGTTTTTTAAAACATTCTGGCCGGATGTTTTGACGCGATATCCGAGCGTTGCCGGCGATGTAGCGGCCAGCGAATCTTCAAGCAGGAAAAAGCGCCAACTTCTGTTGCACCGTCTGAATTGTTAAACACTCCGTAAAGCATTTCGAGACGGGATGTTTAATGGAAAATATCAAACTTAAACTGGAATGAAGCATTCGGGTAAGTTTTGTTTCTCGACTCAGCTGGGATTTCAAAGAAGTCCTTTTTGGCCGTGAACAGTTTCAAACGGCGTGCTTTCTGTTTTCTCCTCCCACTTCTTCACCGCACCTTCTCGAGCCAGTTTGTCGCTGTGTTGTGCGCAACGTGCTCAAAAACAGCAAGTTATTTGTTGCTACCCTGTAATTTAAAGCGAAAACAGTTGCTAACGTAAGCCGTGCTAGAGCGGTTGTTTGTGGGTGGGACTGAAACAAAGTACCACCTTTAAGTTAGCGTTAGCCAGCTAACATGTTACATAATGCGTGGTGCGGTCAATAACCGGTTCGACTGTATTATTGAGAAGTGTGTGCTTGATTGGACTGAACCTGTCCGTGTGTAGCTACACAATAGCGGACCGTGAACTTAAGTGCGCAGCTACGTTCGTTCTCGTTGAACTCTGATGGCGCCCGCTGAAATTACATTGTGTGTTTCCATTTTTCACCAGTGAGGTGCGCTGTTGCGTCTCAGTAGGAATTTAAAAGAAAAATCGCCCTCAAGGTACCGGGAGGAAAGATGCCAGGACTTCAGGGTGAAAGTGTGGTATCAGCGGCTCCGGGGAGCCCAGTGAAGAAGAGTAAACTCTCTCTGAAGTTCTTCCAGAAGAAGGAAACCAAGCGGGCTCTGGATTTCTCGGAACCCCAGACAGAAGAACCCAAAACATGTGAGCCAGAGGAGCCTGAGGCAAGGTAGGTCTCTGCTACCAGTGTGCGTCAAACACAAATAGTTTTCCAGACTGATGTGTTTTGGGCAGCCCGAAGCACTCGTTTTCCCACAGTTACATGCAGATAATCATGGGAATTCCACTGTTGTTGTGAGGGCAGGATAATGCACGTGTGGATGAGTGATACCTTAGATTTTAATAGTAGGCTTCATCTCAATCAAGCTGGGGTTACACTTCAACATTAATCTCAGTGTAATCATTTTAAAACAGTGTGTGTGCGCGATGGTGGATGTCATTTGTGAAATTCAACTTATTAGCTGCTGAGTTTCTGTTTGCTTCCTTCTTAACTGATCAGCAGCTGCGATCAGGTGGTCCCCGGGCCTTCTCAGTGTCCTTCCTCGCCCAGCCTCCTCCTGTCCTGCGAGAAGAGAGAGAACTTTGTGCCGTTCGTGGGGCTCAACAATCTGGGCAATACCTGCTATTTGAACAGCATCTTACAGGTGAGCCATTACCACAGATGGAGTTAATTTCCAGCATTAATAGATGTCATTTGTTCCAGTGTTTTAGTACAAATTGTAGGATGGGTTTAAATATACTGAAGGAAAAGTTGAAAACTGCACAGAAACTTCACAGTTTGTGTGGTTTGTTCTTGTGCGATTTAAGTTGCATTGAATCCTCAAACCTGTTCACCTGTGTTATCCCACTCAGAAGTGGATGTTGTTGTGATGCCGGGAATGTTACATTTTCTGATGTGGAAATTGTGGTTCAGCAGTTGTAGTGTGATGGCAGTCTGTGGGGAGCTTTGGACTGTCCTACCTGCAGAGAGCGTCTGTAGTCAAATGGAGGCAGTGCTAAAAAAAAAAGTGGTTCAACCGGTCTGTAGGCTACTACTGAGTGTTGTAAACAATGTACAGTATTCACTGCAACCTTTGACTGTACTGGTCATACATTTTTTTTTTATATTATTTTTTTTAAACTCCTTTCCCTGTTCTGGCCCACTTGGCAACCAATCAGCACATTTCTGGTGGTTAAAAACCTATCTCTGTAGGTAAATATCTCTGGAAACAGACAAAATCTCAGGAGCATAAATTAAGCACAACGTTTTCACTTAAAGACTAGTTGCTAATGGAATCAAGTGATGGCACATCACTTTTCTGAAGTATGGAGTTAGTTTAGTGAGCAGTTTTTCTTGTACTCACTGCTTTAATAGAAGATATTTAATTACAGTAGCACTT